CCTCGTTTTTTATTTATTGCCTCCAGGATCTCACTGCCTTAGCGCCGTCGCGAGTGCTTGCGTTGCCGCAAACAGCGGGAGTTTGGCTATTGTAGGGCTAATATTGGCAAGAGTCCGCATTGGGAACATTGAGTTGATGGGGCCGGTGTTGGTCTCCAAAACGTTGGCTATGCCCTATTTTGGGTACTGATTTTCTCAGAAGAATGCCCCTTAAGATCCTTGTCGATCAGGGCTGTATTGAATTGCCGTCGAGACAGCGGTTGGCCTTTTTGAAGTCTCCTACTCAGCAGCGGCTAACGCTACAGTCCAGGCCCTAGCGAGGGAAACTGTCACGGTTCCGCCAGGGGCACAGATGCTGGTGCCCTTACGGTTGCGGAAGCGTCTGGATTTGACAGATTCCGAAGAAGGGGTCCTTTTAACCCCCTCTAATACAGCGACCTGGGATCTCGCGTTGGTGGGTACTCAGACCATAGTGAGGGTGGACCAGGAGCCCTTTTTTCAAGTGCTAAATGTGGGGCTGGGGGCTGCTGTGGTCCAAGTCACCTACCAGAAGGGTGTGCAGCACTGCAATGCAGATGCACCGTCCCGTTTACCACCGAGTGACCAGTGTGCATGTTCAATGGGTGCTGGTTGATGTAAGCCATCGGCTGCGGAATCGCCACATGCTGTGGTCGCGTAGGTCGATGCGGCACCACTCGTGGTGGATACGCATAGTGACGGCACGTTGGGTCTCACGCATGCTGAATGGGGACGCCTCCAAATGGAGGACGCCTCGTAGCTAAAATTGCGGCGCTGCGTTGGTGCGAGAGGCAGTAAAACCATGCCAGCAGGGTTGTCCCTTATAGTCCTCCACGAAGGACTTTTGATCAGATGGGAGGAGCTGCAGCGTTATTGCATGGTCCACTGCTTGCGGGGTAAACTCACACGGGTGGTCCATGACAAATTAATGCACCTTGGATTCTGTAAAACCTAATGCTGAAGCTAGACTTCTATTGGCCAGGTATGATGGACGATGTATACCACATGGTAAAAGGTTGTAGTGACTGCGCACGCCGCAAGCCAATGTCGAGGCAGGCCCAGCCTCCATTACAATCTATCACGGTGTCTCGCATTAATGAGCTAGTCGCACTGGATATTCCCGGGCTGTTCCCCGCTACTCAGAGGGGAAATACATTTCTCCTGGTTGGGGTGGAATATCTTTCTCGGTACCCGATGGCATGGCCTCTGCCAGACCAGTCAGCCGCATCCATTGCGGACGCGTTTTTGCACGGCAACATAATGGATAAGGGGGCTCCTGAACAACTTCTTACAGATCAGAGGTGGAATTTTTCTTCTAAATTGTAATGGGAGGTGTGCGACTCCCTGGGTACAAAAAAAAATTAGGACTTCGCCCTACCATGCTCAGACAGACGGGATGGTGGAACGCTTGCACAGGACTCTTACGTCCATGTTGTGCCAACGAGTTAATGAGGCGCAGTTAGACTGGGATTTGCACATCCCCGGTGTCCTGGCCACCTATAGGATGGCCCCTCATTTTATCTCGTGTACGGAAAGGAGAGTGATCCCTCCATGCAGGCTCAGTTGGGCATGGACTTGGGTAAAAAGAGGGCTGTCATGCCCATGCCCATGAAGGTCACGCTTGGGCGTTTGACAGAGGCGCGGGAGGCATCTCAGGGAAATTCGGCCAAACGGCAGGCCGCAAATGAGAAGCTCGTGGGGCAACGGGAGTTCGGGGCCCCATGGACAACTGGGGACAAGGCTTGGTTGCATTGTCTCCAGGCGCCCCTGGGTATATCCCCTAAATTGCATCGTCCGTGGCAGGGCCCTGTTGAGGTGATCGAGGTCAAGAGGCCGCGGTGTGTGCGTATACAGGTCAGTCGCCGTCGCTGGTTTGTGCATTTGTAGCGGTTAAAACCCTATGTTCCACCCTATGTAGATAGTTCATCTCCACAGCGGCGGGTGTCTGATGTGTCCGACGAGCCGGGGCGACTGAGCCCGGAGGCTGCACTTCAGAAGAATTGCATTGTGCCACCCGCAGGATCCCAGCCCTTGAAGTCTGGGGATTCCCCGGCAGCGCCTCCGTGCGAAGGACCGCGTGTGGAAGCCCAGTCGCCATCTTCTTCTCCCAAGCCGTTTACGTGATGTTCCGGTGGTCCCCAGCGCGCAAGTTCCTGCTAGTGATGGTGGACCGGCGTCGAGGACTCGCTTCAAGAGCGCTTCTTTCCGCTGAACAGTTCCCTTCCCGTCATGACAGTTGTGTTCCGACGTCGTCTGTTGGGTGGCCGCCAACGCAAGCCGGGCTGGGACTTCTGGTTGATCTGGGGTCGTGGCTGCGGAGTGCCTGCGGACGTCCTGGATTGTTGCGCTTCCGTCGCGGTTGGGGTTAAATAATTACGGGGTCTTGTTACTGATGTCTGCTAACCCTCCCTTTGTGTTAGCACACATTCTTGTAAGTTTTTCCCCCTCTTATTGCGTGATTGTTGTCAGCCGAGACACCTGTTTTTTTTTTCATGGGGGGAGGGGTTGATGTAGGGGTATAGCTTTTGCTGCTGGCAAAAAAGGGTAACTGCGGTGTACGGCAGTACTCGCGTCAACAGGCCACATTATATACCAGAGGGGGACATCTAGAGGAAAGGTCATAGAAGGGGCCCATCAGGAAGTCCTGAGAACCTGCTAGTAGGTTTCAGAAGGGGGCGTGGCCGGGGCGGAGCAAGGCCATGCTGGGAGCATAAGAGAGGGGGGCCCTGCGCCGGAGCTCGGGGCTGTTCGTGGAAGTGGAATCCCCGTCGTGGCTGTTCAAGACCATCGTCGCCATCTCGTCGTCTCCATTTCCACCATCCCGGGGTGCTTTTAGACAGCCTACCAGTTCTAAGTAGTACCGCTGACAATAGATGGTCTTAATCATAATAGTGTGCACCCACGTAGGGTGTGTATATATCCCGATGGTGCTTGTTCAATAAATACTGTCTCCGATCTGTGTCACTACACGAGGATAAAAGAACACCATAGGAACATCAAATACTCACAAACACCATTGTCAGCAGTTGCGGAACATGCCTGCCAACAAGGACGTCCAATTTCTTTTGATAATGTTGATGTACTATGAATAGCTAATTACTATTGGCCAAGATAACCCATTGAATATGAGCGAAATAAATATAATTTCAACGTGATGGCTATAGCCTGAGTAATGTTTGGAAATGCATTCAGTATTTATATCACAACCTGAATAGAATAGTGTTCACATTATTGATACGAACAGCATTGTTAACTTTACTCACCAATTTAGTATTACTCATGAACTATGGATAACCTGTATCCCCACCATTATATTTACATATCTAAGAATATACAATTTAACATAACACGTATTCAAATATATTCAACTTCATGTATCACTTCCTGCTATTTTCTGGGTGCATATTGATGACATCGCACCACCGCTTGAAGGCCCAAATACTGGATGACTTTTTCAGATTTCTGGCAACTGCTTGATGATGCTGGTTTTAATTACCAGTGAAGCAAGGAATCAAATTGTTAAATGTTTTTAATTTCTCTCCAGCACACCACTGTGTTGAAGCAGTAATGCTTTGGCACTTTAATTCATGTTAACAATTTGTTAATTGGCTGTGTCGGGTTGAGGGTTTAATAATATTTAACTTAAGACGATCTGAACCAAAAATCAATTATGAATGAGCAATAAGATTCTTAACTCTCGGGAGAAACTTTCTTAGCTGCCCAGATTGGCTGCCTTGTTAGAATGTGTGTGTGCCTCTGTCCCTCTGTGTGTGTTTCTGAGCATGTGTATATTAGGCGGGGAGCTGTAGTGTTGTGGTTAGCACGCTGCACTACCAACTTGGCAACCCGAGTTCGATTCCTGCTCACAGCTAACACCAATGGCGATAATCTGAACCGGTGCTGAGCTTCCCCTAGGTTTAGTCAGCCTCAAATGAGTACCTGCTGTGATGTATAAACATCACCACTAGGGAGACAAAGCCGGCTGGGCGTGGTGCTGGCCATCGACTCCCTCGTGTGCCGTGCCGGCCTCCATAGGTGCCCGCTAACACTCGCCCCAACAGTCTGATAAGGCTATATGGGGGATCTTTGTCTTTTGTATCTCTATGGGGCGTGATAGTATTGTGGCTATTGCACACGGTCATCTGAGTTCAATTCCCACTCACAACCAATAACAGTGGCAAATATATAAACCAGTCCTCGGCCTCCACTGAGGAGACAAGGACATGGTGTGGGCTACCCCCCCCCCCCCCCATGACCCTCTACTCACAACTTTCATGATGGCGGCAGGCCCAGGTAAAGCTGCCTGGCCTGGAGTCAGAGCCATTTTTTCTCCCTGGAATGAACATGGATATCCTCTGGCTGCTAGATTTAACATAGTTTGACCAGGTGGTCCAAGAAGCGTTCCATGGCTGTACCAGACGAATTTCCACCTGGTACAGATACAATGGGTGGCGGATTGATACCTTGGTAGAGTCAATGGATGGCTCCGTATTGGCCAACCATGTGAAGTACGCTACTGGTCAGTTGGAGGCATTCACTAACAACGGGTGGGTAGAGGCGTGATGCTCACAACGAGCGGAGTGCCGGGCGGCTAAAACGCAGCAAGTTGGCACAGTGGGGTGCACATGGGATGCATCTGCTGGTCATGTCAGTCATTCCACCCATGGCACCTGGGTCTGTCCTGTAACCCCCTCAACACTTCAATTGACCACAAAGTGCACTTAGCCTGGCACAAGCGTTGTGATGACGTTTCCAGCACTTAGTGGCGAGAGGCAGCTGTTGTTGTCCATGTGTGTGTAATGATTGTCTCTATCTCTCCCCTGTTCCTTCCTTTGCGTGTGTCTCTCAAACGATTTATCCCTATGTCCCTGTGTCTCTCTCCCTGTATCTGTCGGTGTATGCCATTGCCTCTGTGTTTGAGTGTTCCTCTATTGCTCTCTGCCATTGTCTCCCTCTCCCCATTGCTCTTTCACCACATGCAGGGAGAGGGGTCTCTCTACGTTTGTGTTTCGTCCCCACTGTGGAGAAGCGGGACCAGTGCACCACCTTGTGTCCGGGTTTCTGCTCGCAGAGAACATCTCACATGGACTGCTCCTACGCAAGGTGCGCACGCAGCGAGAGACAGAGGGAGACATGGAGAGACACGGAGAGGGAAACACTGAGAGGGAAAGCGAGCGAGAGGGGGGAGCTAGATACAACTGGGAGAGAGAAAGGGGGCAGGGAAAGACAGACATGGTGAGAAAAACAGAGAGACACACTGAGAGAAATATACAGAGGGATTCACGGAGCGAGATATGGGAAGACAGATTAATGAAAAGGTGCATGGGGAAAGACGCAGGGAGAGGAGATGGGGAGTGAGAGACAGAGAAGGGGGACAACAGAGAGAGAGAGAGGGAGCAAGAAACAGACAGATAAACATGGAGAAAGACACAGGGACATGATGAGTCGGAGATAGAAGGGTGGGGAAAGATGTGATGAGAGACAGATGCGGACAGAGGCATGGGTGGGGGAGAGAGGGAGAGGTGTGAACTTGGAGCTCCTGAAGAACATTTCAGTTATCAAGATACCTTGTTTCATCTTAATTGCTGTGATTACAAGAGTGATTTTAAAGAAGTGTTACTCTATGCTCACTGTAGGCAGGTAATCACCTGATTGTGTTGTTTTTGTGTTCCTAATCACCTGATTTGTGGTGTTTGTGCTTATTTTCTCTATTTAAGCCTTGCTGACAAGCAGGCAAGCACAGTGACATCGGTTTACGGTTTTTCGATTAACATTTTGCATACCATAGAACCCCATGGTTTCGACTAACGTTAACATTGTGTACTCTTTGGTTCTTTCAGTAAAGTCACGTAGGTAGAAATAAAATAAAACAAATCACGACGTTTCGATCGCACTACAAGCGATCTTCATCAGGTGGGACAACCACAGCAAGAAAATGCTGAAATGGGCAGGAGAGCTGCCATGGCAAGAGGTTATATCGGTAAGAGGGGGGGGGGGGAGGCAAGGGGAGAGAGAGAGAGCTGGGGGGGGGGGGTGTGGGGGGGGAAGAAAAGATATAGGATGTGAGGCTGGGGGGGACATGGGCAGGGCTAGCAGTAAACCGGCAGGTAATGATGGAAACAACAAGTTAAGGCATTACCTGGTTGATAACATCCTTCCAATGATTGTTCAATTTGTATTCATCTTCTCGGTTGCAGTTTGTCTTTATATATCTGGATGGCTTCATGAACAAACCTTTGATAGTAGCCCGAAGGTTTGCAGAGTACCTTGATCTCGGAAAAAAACTATCATAGGCAAAACTTCAAGCGAGACGATGTATGTAAAAGTAACCATTGTTAAAATTAATACTGCAACCATATTAACCATTAAAGACACATGGTATGCTTTGCAGTAGATGTTAACATTCCTCCCTGATGTAACTTAATAAGAGTAGGCCATTGTGTTTCTGTCGTGGTCCAAATTTGCCAAATTCACAAATTACCTGCAAATTACTCAATTGCCATTACACACAGCAAGCATCACCCCCGTATAGCTACTCCAGACTACTGAATGGGCAGTATTGCGCTTTCGTGATAGCCTTGCCCAGTAATCGTAGTGCGAATACCAAATACAGCAATACCCCAATTTACATCGTTTAGCAAATACGTCGTCACTTTATTATCAACATCGCTACCCTACTCACGTTGCCTCAACCCACACGTCGCAAATTTGGACCGTGACGGCATTGTCCGCCCTTTCTCGTAACCGTCGCCTCTCAGCCTTTGCCTCCACCTACCCTGTACAAACTACTTTGTCGCGCATAAACAAATGTACTGTACCGAGTACAATATAGTAATTACGTACGGCATTTGATTTCCTTAGTGTATTGCACGTTATTTTACTCTGTATAATTTGTGTTAAAGGTTACTGCTGTACACTAGTGTTGGGTGCCATATTTTTAGTATTGTCGTAATTTTATGTAACGTTGTGGGTACGTCTGATGAAGATGCGCGCATTAATGCACAGCTTCACCGTACCCTCTGTTTAGCTCTTGTAACGTGCAGATTTGGCTTGCTTCGATTGTCATCGTTTTGATATTCGTCGGCGCAACTTTTAGGAACGCATCCCCAGACGTAAACTGGGTTATTGCTGGTGTCGTGTGCTAATTCACAGACACTAGTAGGAGGTACTCTTTTTTTCCGGCCTTCACAGCCTTTGGGGATAACCACATACCGGGTCAGGACAGCCACCATGCTGCCAGAACCACAGCTTGCAGAGGGCGAAGATCACGACAACTATTTAAAAGTTTTATTATCGCAACAATGAACAGTCCGCTGTTCCAGACAGTTGGAAAACAGTAACAGCAGCCACAACCCGTACAAGGTGTTTCCGCGGTACCAGGATCCCATACCACACCAACACATTGAGTGTACCGATAACGAAAAGGAAAAACTTTGCAGTTCTTTCCACATTTCGGAGCCAGAGTCCGTGGTTACCGAAAAACCTATTCCTTTTTTCTCGGTGCTGTGGTGGGGGAATTTCCCAAACTGTTTACGTCATCCCGTGCCACATGAAGGTGGAGGCCACCGCCATTTCTCTTTTGCAGCTTTGCTGCCCATTTTTACCCTGTCGACCTCCACCACCCGGCTGATCAGCCTCCAGGCTAGGTGGTACACCTCCGGGGGTGTCATGCAGGCACCCTTGATCATCCGACTCTGCGCCTTCCACAGGGCTTCTTTTATTGTCCCCACCACGGCCCATGCTTGAGCCCAAGCCCCTCCTGCTTTTTGCCGGAATCCTCCCCAAATAATGTGGCACTCACTTTGACTGGACAAAAACGGGCTAGCCAGGGCTGGCATAGCACCTACACCTCCTGTGCAAAGGGGCATCGCACTAAAACGTGGCTTCATGCACTCCTCTGAATCACAGCCCCTCGGGCACTTAGGGGTGCAGGCCATATGGCGGGAGTACATAAACTTCCTGCATGCCAACCTGTCCCAGGCCGCCAGCCAAGATATGTCTGTCTTTTTGTTAGGGCTCTAGACATCACATTCTCCCATATTTGTTGGTGTATGGCACCCCGTGCGCCTGGTACCTCTGCACAGGCTTCCCTCTTGCCAATATCGGCAAGAACCCCCCAGGGGTGCCACGACTTTCTACCAGGACCGGCTCGTATTCCGTGATATATTTGTTGACCGCGGTACATAGCCACCCCTGCGGCCAGCCGAGGGGCCTGCAGCGAGGTAATGCAGCCATGCCTAATCTTTGCAGGAGCCATGCCAACCTATATTGCAAAAAATATGAGGCCTTTGCCCAAGGCCCATCTGAAAAAACACACGCAGCATGTTACAAACAAAAATCATAGTAAGGATATGCGCGACGTTAGGGGCTCCCCTCCCACCATTCGCAGAGTCTTTACACACAGTCTCCATTTTTTTCCGGTCCATCCCCCCTCCCCAGATAAACTTGAAAAACAGTGCCTCCAACTTATGCAGCATACGCGTGATGGTTGGGGTGTATCACATTGTGCTGGTGTTCCACCACTCAGAGTCCTGGCTGTTAGGGATGTCAGCTTTTTATTCCTCACCGAGCTGACACCAACCACCAGGCTACCACAACGAACAACCAAATAACAATTACTACCAGATCACCCACACACATCCACTCACACCTACGGTCCCTACCACTTTCCGGAGACACACACAAAAGCTTTGGGGGGGGGGGGGGGGGGGGGGGGGGGGGGGGAGGTCGTTCACCTCCCCTGCACAACTCTGCATCAGAGTTCCCTTGCTTCTCCTACAGGGGTTTTCTTCTCTCCTTTGCGACTCTGCTTCGCAGAGTACCCATCCTCTGAAAGCGGGAGATGTCCGTGGGCCACCCAAGCAGCCACCCTGGTAACCCGTTAGCACCCGACTTCTCTCGGTCAGTGCCAGGCTACAGCTTGCTTCCTTCCCTGCACCTGCCGCTCCTGGCATGCTCTTGGGGGTTCCAGACATCCCACCGGCCCTGGTTCATGCCCCAGGTCGGCTGCTGGAAACATAACAATCGTACCGTCGCCTAATGGTTTCTGTCCGATATCTATTCTAGAGTTGCAGACAGCACTCAGCTCCTACTTACAGTGACGATCCCCTGGTCCTCACTCGTGTTGCTCCTTGAGGGTGGGAGCTCGCCCAGCCACTACTGCTGCTGCTGCCACTGCCGCTGCTGCTGCTCCCGAGTTGTGCACCCCCCCCCCCCCCCTGCCGATTTGGGCTCTCCTTTTATAGGGCTGCGCAGCCCATTGTTCAGTCCCTGGGCCAATCCCGTGAGAGGGATCCGTCTATAAATAGCCTACCCTTCCCTAGAACTGATTGGCCTGTTCTCCCCAAAACCCGTTACCACACTATCTCCAGCTCACGGGATAGGCTTCACACACTATGCCACACCATCGTCAGGCTTCTGGCTGACCACCTGGCCAGCCTGCCCTTCACCGCCTTGATCTTTTCTTGCCAATTATTTTTTGTTGATCCCTCCCGATAAAAGGTGACCCCCAGGATCTTAATGCCCTCTGTCTGCACTCTTAGTTCCGTTGGGCGGCCTTAAAAAAGTCTGGGGTCCCCAAAGATCATCACCACGCTCTTATTCAAGTTGACCCTGGAGAAAGGTGAAAAAGCCTCACAAGCTCCAGCACCTCCCACACCAAGGATACCTCCTTGCAAAAAAACCAATGTCATCCATATACATCGCTATTTTTGCCTGTTTGCTGCACCCCGAGATGTGCATTCCTCTGATTAGCTCTAACCGCCTGGGAAAAAGGGCTCCATACACATGAATAAAAGCGGTGACATGGGGGGGGGGGGGGGGGCACCCTTGTTTTACCCCTGACCTAACTGGGACCGCCTCCGAAAGGATCCCGTTTATCAAGAGCCTGCTAGAGAGCTTATGGTATAGTTTCCTTACCCAACCTACTAAAAGCTCCCCTACCCCCATGTGTGCCAGCACTGAAAACAAGACGCATGCAAAACGCGGTTGAAGGCCTTATCCTGGTCTAGACTAAGGAGCCCCAGGGGCCTCCCCCCCCTCTATCATGGATTCTAGAACCTCCCTCAGTAGAATCAGGTTGTCTGAAATGTGTCTGCCCAGGA